ACTTTCGTAAATTCAAAAAAGTCACGGAAATTTAGAATACCTAAACCGAAAACTATTTTGTAACATTCAACTAGAGTTAGGTAGTCCCTGCGGGTCGAGAGAGTAGGCCACTTCAATATTTTACATCTTTCTTCGTATGTCATTTCCCCTCTAGTTTGTCGAAGTGCTAGTCTGGAAGCTCTTCTTTGTACTTTTTCCAATGCAGTTATGTCTTTCACCAGGTGTGGACACCAAACGGGTGACGCATATTCAAGGATTGGTCTTACAAGCGCGATATATAGCATCGAAAAGACTGTGGTATTGGYGGTGCCAACAGTTCGTAAAATAGTCCCTAGGACTTTGTTAGCTTTATTTACAGTGATGCCAATGTGTTCACTCCAGGATAGATTATTGGAGATAGTAACACCAAGATCTTTGAAACTATTAACGAATTTACGTAGGCAAAATTGCACAATTTGCTATCGTGACAAAGTAGTGTTTTGGTGGATGTCAATCAAAGTATTTTCATAAAATTGTCAGTGACAGCTTTGGAGGGCATGTGTCTATGGAATGTATCCATACTTCATTGAGACGACGATTTCAGATGTGCTATCGAAAAGCACTGTAACTTATTGAATGCTGTCACATGCTGCACATGTACCACTGGCAGAAAATGGTCTGAATATGGCTTGAGTTATAGTGAAGTTAAATGTAGTTTAAGCAAATCAAGAGAAAAAATTTTATATATTCGTTTTATTTTGAGATTTATTTAAATAACATTGTCAGATTCATTGAAGGAGACTTGGTACAAAAATACCCTCATGACTGAGATTTGCAGCAAAAACTTTATTAATTCTGATATCAGTTACAGTAGAATACAGGATGGCTTATTAATGTCGTATTCCTAGGAAAAGAAAAATGTACAAATATTATTGATTTTGAATTTTTTTTTACACTTTTCAATTTCTTTTATTGAAATGTTTTAATCAATTTTAAACTTACTTCTTTTCTTTGCACTTGACTTTCGTTTCCACTAGAATAAGAGTGATAAAGTTAGTTTAAGGATAAAATTAGAATAATATTTAATTAGATTGACCACAAATTTTTAGTAGCGCCAATTATGAATTGAATGAATGAATAGAATGATGAACGGATGAACAAACAGACAGACACACCTGAGACAGACACACAGACATATAGCTAACTGGATGGATGGATGAATGGATAAATCATAGTTAATAGAGGGGAATGGTTAGGAAACCCTTTTGAGCACGTGATGAGCATAAATCAAACATTGTGCATGGTCAAGACCGGTTCAACATCAAAAGTGAACGAAGACCTGATAACAATAGGTTTCCTAACYATTCCCCTCTATTAACTATGGATAAATGGATAGATGGTTGGAAGGATTGGATTGATGTATGAATGTTTGGATAAAATTAGCCTTTTTATTCTTTTTTATGGAAAATTGATTTATTCGACATATACCTTAGGCTTTTTCTTTTTACCAGAAGACCTTAAATACAAAAAGAAAACAGAAAAAAATATTAGACCAAATATTTTTAACATACCAATGTTTAAAATTTTAATTGTAATATTAATCTTATTTTCATCCTTTTTATCTTACCGACGATATGAGGAGTCTCCCCCTTCCTGGAATCAAAAAAGATAATAAAGATATATATCAGAGAACTCATCAAACAGGTTTGGGCACCTTATTTGGTTACTGGACATAGTTTACGTTATTCAATAAAAAAGCAAACAAAGATCTCAAATTTAGAATGCAGAAGGGCCCTATAAATAAGAGTAGTTAATGTGTCTAGAAAAAAAATATGCATCATGACTCCTGCTGCACTCTGTTGATAGATACTTTACCTCTGTTTGATCACCACTCAAGACAGAAAGGCTGGTAAATGAAGTAAGCTCATCCAATGTGCTTGAGGCTCTAGGATTCCCTTTCTGTTGGCAAAGAAATAGTTAAATAATACTCTAAGTAATGATACTTTTGAATAGTGATTCATCTTATTTGACAAAAGGTAATATACAATATAATGTAGTAACTATGGTAGCAGAGGTCTTGTCTCTGTAGGGAGAATATTGTACGATTACCTCTTGGCATTGAAAACCAGGATCAATTCCTGTACTCAGTGTTGTGTTAGTTGAGCTGTTTGTTGGTTCTCTACTATGCTTTGAGGGTTTAAATTTCAATTACCTCTCCGTAGCTTATAGTATTTACCTTTTGTTTTTTGGTTGGCAGTCTTAAAAAGTTGTCTTCTTCATAGCTGGCAACAGAAGTGTTTAAATTATTAAAACAAATCAGAGAAAATAGAAATTGCACTCTGAACTCAGCAACAAAAAAAGTCTAGAAAATGGTTTATTTATTTTTAACATACAAAATAGAAAATGGAAAATATACATACTTCTGTTGGTGAGCCTCGTCTTCTTGTTTCTTTGAACTTCTCCAATCATTTATAACCTCCTCCTGAAGAAAGCAGAAAAGGAAGTACTGTAAAATCAGGTAGTCAAGTGATTTTATTTAAAGGTCTCTTCGGTTAATGTGTAATGTTTTCCCATTTTTTTATTATTTTAAAATTACTTTATTGTAAAGCGCATCTAGGTTTCAGCATGTGCTATATAAATGCTTTGTTATTATTATTGTTTCAAACTAGTTAGGTGCCATTCTCTTGAGAATAGGATTCTTTGTTTCTTTTCAAATTCATGTCTTCTTGCGTGAATGATGTGGTCTGAAGTGGGAAAAGATTATGCTGAAATGGTCTATTTTATCTGACAGTACTTACTCTTATTTCCATAGGAGTTTCACTGTACTCATCTGGGAAAAAAAGATAAGCAAAAAAAGTTAGTGGATTTTTTTAATCAATATTTAATTAATCTTATATATAAGTTTAGAAAATATGTTTTTTCATGATTGTAACCTCTAAGTTCTTGTATGATTGAGCTTCCTAGGGCTCTTTTCTTGGCATTCTCTGTTTTCTTGTCTTTTTTTGAGCTGCGTCCATCATCTACGAAATAATATCAAAAATAAATAAATTCAAGGATATTAGTATTGAAGAAATATAAAACAGTTTTCCGTGTTTGATATTCTGATCAGAACACAAGGGATGCTGAGAGAAGATAAGAAAAGCRTAGAAAACCACAACGTGAAGCACAGCATTTTTAAGCATCTCAAGTGTTTTCTATCAATCCCTGTCAGTGTTTTGTTCAGAGTACATGTACATGTATCTAAAGAATTTCAGGTAAAAAAGAAAAGAATACAAGTGATGTTACTTGTTACTCGAATCTTCAATAAGAGGACAGACATAAAATTGATGTCAATTTGTTTTTTTACGATAACAAAAACAACAACGTAGTGATCAAAACGACCAAYGGAAAGAGTGTGTGCTAGTTGATGAGTCCAGCTTACAGTATCTATTTCTCCTCTTATAGCCAATCAGCAAACTTGAAATTTTAAAGTTATTGTAAAGAATATCATGATTGAGAAACCTTGAACCACTGTGTACGCTAGTATGAGACATAAGTTTCACTGCTACATGCCCCGAATACATGCCACAAGGTTCTCTCATTGTCTTGAGCCTATTATTTATATATATATATATATATATATGCCATAATCTACAAAGGTTTTCTATCATGCCTTCCCCAGTTCTTTCCTTTCCCTGTAGAAATCAATTTGAATTGATACTTACCATAAGGAACTGCCGTCACTTTAGGAGGAACATAAACTCCTGATTTAGAAGGTATATGTGTTTCATCRGCACTCTCATCACTTTCATCCTCATCAGCCTCACCTAACTGGAAAAAAATTTTGTTTAAACTAAAAAATTACTTATAACTTGGGCATTTATATAATTGCAATAAGGTGTCTCAGGGCTACCGTAAGTCAATGGTCATATTAATGGATACAAACAGTTTTTAAATTAGGTTGAAATAATGTATTTTTTCATTGTTTTTGTTCTTAAAACTAACTTGCACTTTTAKATGAGTGATATACCACTAGTAGCTCAACCAATCAGAACACAGGACTTGTGATAGACCAAGAGTAGGTTTATATTAATTGATAATAGATTAGTAGAGTGATATGGAGAACATACACACCTTGGCAGCCATGTTCTCTGGGTTTGGTTTGAATCTCAGGGGATCGCTGTCGCCAGCTGAAAAAGATTAAGATGGAATAAAATGTATTGAAGTTTGGAAAAACTGTGAAACTATTGTCAAACAAGGACAGGCATGTGCTAGCTAGTACTTATTGGGAATCATGGGTGACGTAGCAGTTAGAGTTCTCGCTTGTCACTAAGACGACTTGGGTTTCGTGGGGAGGATTCAGACGATGCTTGGTATTGCATGTGAGTAGAGTTGCTYGTTGGTTCTCTCCTGTGCTTCAAGGTTTTTTCTTCCCTCCACAAAATAAACTTCTAACTTCTAATTCAATCTATTGGCTGCCTTATCAAGTGGATTGCAAAACCTGTTAGGCTTTCCACTGTCCACCCTGGAGTGGTCAGTAAATAAGAAATCTTATGCTCAAAAGTATGAAATATATTATATATATGGTTAGGAAAAATTATACCAAAGTTAGCAAAGTTTAAGACACCTATAGCAAAAGTAGTTATATACATGGAATTTGTGCAAAAGACTTGCATATTAGGCTTACCTGTCATCCCTGTCGTAATCATCTTGATTAATTTGTCAATCTGGTATTTCATTTTTTGATCTATGGGGCGTAGTTTCTCCAACACCTGTTTTAATGAAAGCATTAGTTTACATTGAGGCCAAGACTCAGTCCATACTAGTAAGCTATTCATGCTAGTTGTTTGTTTATATTTTGATTGAAGGGCTGGAATTAGACTAGAATTGGACTAGCCAACTATTAGCCATTTTGAGGTTGACATAAAAACTGGTCCAAGTTGGCATTGTAGTGCATTGTGGGGCTGTTTTAGAGGACATTTTCCAAGATGGTGTCTATTTCAACCCCCAAAGCTCAGGTCGAACGTCCAACTTCACATGAGCCATACCATTGAAAAAAAAAATTTAACAAAGCCGTCTTCTCGGATGTTATTGGATTCTGCTCATTTGAAGTTCAACATTTGACCCTAGTCTAAAACAGCCCCAAAATGCACTGAAATGCCAACCCAGATTTTTCCTTATCCACGGAATGACTAATGGTACCAGATCTTCTGATTACTGTAATACTTACAGTGCGAATCTCAACCAATCTGTCAATGGCGGAGTCTCCTTCAATTTTCTCTCCATCCGACTTGAGCAGCATGTAGTATACAATATTGATTAAATAACTAATGATAAATGAACAAGCAAATAATCAGCATACATAATTAGTTTTGCAAAAGATATCTATAAAAACATGTAATGTACCTTAAAAGCAATTGTGTCTTTACTTCCAAAAAGCTAATGCCCTGGGAAAAAAATGTTTTAAGAGCATTACAGTATTTCAATAATGAACCATAATTTAATGTTTTATTCAAAATTTCTACCATGGATGAAGTAAATAGACTTCTGGGTGTTAAAAGTTATTCAAAATAGCAGAAAAAATTTCTATCTTTCATCGTACGTTCCATCGGGAAATTATACTTGCATCGATCCCCCAGAGACATCTTTGTTTAACCAATCATAGTCATAATGCCAAAATAAGTCGTCGTTTAATACCTTCGCTGTTGAGATGTCTTCATCATCTATCTTTGCTATTAGACCACCGACTCGCTGAGAGATCTCAGAAACCTTCAAATAAGATGCAAAAACAATAATTTTAAGGTAATAAGTTTATATAGTACTAATTCTACAAAAATACTAGGAATTGTCAACGCGAATTGTCAAAGGGTTTTGGAGCTTTTCAAGGATGTAGTCTTCTAATTTTCATTATCCTTATAATATATTTAGTGGAAAAAAAACAACACACATTTGCAATAATCGGAGTTTTCAAAGCCAAACTGGTCTAACAAACGTTACTGACGTCTAACACAACCTACCTGTTCGTCTATCTCTTTGAGAGTCGCGATGTACTCGGGCAAATCCTTCGCAATCAGCTGATTAAGACAAAGAAAACATTCTTAAAAGTTAAACGTGGATATCATAACATATAGGTTACAGTAAAAAATTAGCTTCAAAGCGGGTAGAAATCCTAGAATAACAACAAGAAGAACAAGTAAAAGAGAAGTCACATGTACCTCTTCGTCCGCCATCTTGAAATTTAACAGGTCACCGCTGGCCAAATAAGCCACAGGGAGCCCAATAGATGTAAAATACTTGAAACAATCCCCGTTGCATATGTTTCTTCATCTTCCCTAAATCTTCCGGTTCCGGCTCACTCCATCTACATTCCTTCAAGTCCATCAAAGGGGGTACCCATCACTGATAGACTACCCGAGAACATAGATTCTTGGAGTATCGATCGAGGTTATATGATAAGGAAAATAAACTCCGATACTTGGTCTAGTTTTGCATGCGTTCTCTATCATCAAACCTAACTCCATCGACTTCTTTTCAGTGCGTGTCCGATATCCATGGAGTATAAACGTCAGTCCTAACCACGTTTTCGAGTTGATTATGCAGGGGTGGATCCAGCCAAATGTAAAAGGGGGGGGGGGGGGGCTTGACCGAATGACAATACAGAACTTGGAAAGAATATTTAACAATATACTTTGATCAAATAAAGCTATATATGAATGAAGGGGAGGCTACAGTCCCCTTTTACCCCTCCCTGGATCTGCCCCTGTCATAAAATAATCACTCTAGGAACAGGAACACGCAATATTTTATAAATATTTGAAATAAATATTACATCTTTCCACTGAGACCTTTCTTTGTTACTGAAATCTCCATATTTTCCTCTGATTGTTTTTATTATTGCACTAAAATGCACGCCAAAAATCTACGCGAATCCCAACCTTTAGAATAGAATTTTCAACTATGATGCCATTCTCTTATCAAAAACAAATTTTGGATTCAAATGCAAACTCAATCCCTCCCTTCACTCTTAATCAAAAAATTCCACTATAAATCTTTTACTGATGAGATGGCAAACATTGTAGTCTGGCTTAGGTACCAATATTCTTTCATTCGTCATAAGTGGTATTAGATGGGTATTAAATGCTGTTTATCGAACTCAGAAAACGCCTTTGCCATRTGCAGCAACAGGCCATCCTTTGTTTTTACATTCAACTGATTGAAATCTCTTCTAAACTTTAAATCAAGGAAGCTAAAGATTAACCGACTTGATGTCCCAAAACATTACATGACTGAACAGCGAGGTTGCGGAAGCTTAGCCATCACTCTCTTAAGATGCATTTCTGTTATAAGTACTTTGGAATGACTCTTCGCATTCCTCTTATAAATAACAAGTGCTTTTTCAAGCAAACTCTTGGCTTCTTTGAACTCCTTGCAATGCTCGTGTACAAGCGCAAGACCAACGATAGGGCGCGCCATTTCTGGATGGTCATCGCCTGCCGCCCTTTTCTGGAAATCTATGGCTCGTTTGTATTGTTCTTTGGCCTCATCTACTTCYCCAAGTCCTAAGCTTACTTCTGCTAAACTTGAGGAAATATGCGCAAGATCTGTTTCCTTGTCTTTGAACTTTGACTGCTCGTCTGCTACAGTTTGGTAGAGGTCCTTAGCCCTCTTTAGCTGCCCAAGCCGCGCAAAAGAGTTCCCAAGAAGCTTAATCGATGCCAAGGTCTCTGGATCCTGCACACCAAAATTCCGAGTACGGATTTCAACGGCTCTCTCTAGCAAGTTTAAACCCGTTTGATGATCATCAAGCTTGTTGTACACTTCTCCAAGACAAAAGTACGATGTTCCTACGTCTGGGTGGGTTCTCTTGAACAGCAGTCCTCGAATCCCCAGCGATCTTTCAAGGAACGTTTTCGCTTTCTCCAATTCTCCCAAGTTGTTGTAAGCGTTTCCAAGATCGCAACAACTATTTGCAATGTCTGGATGAAGCTGGCAAAGGGTTTCCTCTCGGATCTTCAAAGATCGACTATGACATTCTATTGCTGTTTCCCAGTCGCCTTTTACTGCGCAGAGTGAACCAAGTTCGCTGTAAATCTGTGCAGCTTCGTTGTCTAACGACCCGACGACTTTGTCAAATATTTCAAGAGACTGTTTCAGTAATTTTTCTGCTTGTTCAGTATCACCCAACGCCTTGCATGCATTGGACGCATTCTTGATAGTACTCAAGCGGTAAGGATGATATAGACCTAGCAGTCTTTCCTCCAACTTCATCGCTCGTTTAAGATAATTCAAAGCTGAATCAAATTCATCCACACAAATTGACATCGCACCAACGCATGTGAGGACTTTAACCAACTCACAATCAAGTGCCTCAGACTTGTAAGTATCCCATATTTCTAGTGCTTTCTCATAGTGCTCCTTAGCCTGCTCGAAATGGCCTTCAATGGCATAGACATTACCAAGTTTAAACCATGAAACATAGATACTATCCACCCTATCATAATCAGGGTCTTCTTTTCGGAGTTCTAGCGCCTCCATGTACAATTTTTTAGCCTCAGTTGTTTCTCCAAAACTAATTGTCACATCACCAAGATCATCAATGGCTTCTGCGAGTGAATGCATGTCATTGTCATTCTTTAGGTTCCTACAAATCTTTAAAGCTTCTTCATAATAGCGTTTGGTTTCAACATCGGCATTATCACTGGCGTCTCCTAATCCTCGAAGCACAGAATAAAGTTTAGGCTCGAAGAAAGAATGAATCTTACCATTTTCTAGTAGAATTTCTTTCGCCAACTCAAAAGACATTTGTGCATTTTTCAGGCTCTGAATCCCTTGACATTGCTTTCCAAAGTCAAGTAACATATCTGCAGCAGCTATTCGATCACCAAACTTCTCGAGCACTTCCACTAGTTCTTTTCTTTGTTCCGTGTTTAATTTTCTAACCCTGCTCATCAGCTTGTCAGCTACAAACGACTGAAAATAGGTGGTGTCGTTGGCTTCACTTTTAAAGCATGCCGGGCTATTTAGCTGGAGTGCAACTGCTCTTATTGCAGAGCCAAGGATTGATATTTTCCTAGCATCTGTCAATTCTAGATCAATATAGTGATTGCACATCTTACTACAACGAGACGATAAAAATGCCAAATTGTCTTGATGGTTTTCTGCATCTAAGATTGGTGTACTAAGCAGTGTTTGAAGAGTAGTTTCCACATCTGTATCATCCAGCTCTTTGAAGCAGTCCAATATCACATTCTTGTTTACAGGAATAGGATCAAAAATTGAAAGCAAGAAGAGTATTGAGGGGATAAGCTTGTGTTGTGCAGAGAGTTGGTCGACAAGCATCTTGATGGCCACTAGGCTGAGTTCAGAATGATTTCCTTCATTCACTTGGCAAAACTCTTTTCCATAGAGTTCCCTCGGTTTCTGAAAACTTTCCTGGTACGTTTTCCAATGTCCATTTTCATTTTTACCTGAAAGATTTTTGACAAAGGTTGCTGCGCAACTCAAAGCAAGGGGTTGGAACTCAAGCATTTCTGCAACTTCCAGAGCATCATCTTTATTTGTAATTCCAGAAACTCCACACAATAGTTCAATGGCTTCTGAAGGCTGCATTCCACGTGAGATGGTCACATGTCCTGACTGCTGGTAACAGAAGGTCTGGGTGGCAATGCTGTCAGTTGATGTCACGATGATTTGTCCACATCCCCATTCTTCACTTCCAGGCTTAGGCCAGTACGAAGAGAATTCTTCCAAACAATGAACATTATCAATGATTATGACCCACTTGGAGTACCGTTTTAATTGCCGTTCAATAATACACTTTAAAAGTCTTATTTTTTGTCCAGCCATCAAACCCCTTGAAGTCACTGCCACTTTGATGTGTAAAGAGTTCCCCAAGATATCTTTTGCAAATTTTATGTAGGAGTACAATAGGGAATCTTCAGTTTCCGCATCAAGAACTGCCACAACCATTGCAGGATCGTTTGCAGCAGTAATATGCTGATTAAACAACGTTAAAGCAGCTTGTCTTGCTAGTTCACTTTTTCCACAGCCACTAGGACCACAAATATAAACAGTTGCATTTCCTACAGAGATTGAACGTTTAACCTCATCTAATTCTTTTAAAACAAAAGAAACTTCCCTAGACCTGTGAATAAGAGAAGGAGATTGAGAAGTCACCAGTTGACAAAATGTCCTTGTCTCTTTGCTTAGTTGCTCATGAATTTTCAATTGTTCTTCATTACTAAAGGCCATCTTTTCAGACAGATCATTTAACACATCTAAAGGAAGACTCAGATTTGTGTAGCCTTTGTGGACTTCCTGAAGTAAATTCTCTAGTTCATGATTTGAGAGATGGTCTTTCCTCACATTTTTAAAGAATTCCTCACGAGCATTTATCAAGTGGTTTATACCAGTATTTGCATCATCGTCCATTGTAATTTGGCCAGCCACTGTGCAGAGCTCCTGAAAATTATGGTCACTAATATTCTCAAGGAATTCCATTGCCTCAGACGTCAGATCATTGTTTTCATTATATTTTGAGGCTTTAATGAAATGCTGCTGTAAAAATTCTCTGACTCCATTGGGAATTATGTTTGCAACCAGCAGGCCTCCTTTGAGAAAATTTGTCTCTTCTTCAGAATTGAACCTTTGTGACTTTGCCATTTTCAAGTCAAATTCTAGATTGTGAAGTCTTTTTATGTCACAAGGTGATGGAGAAGAAACTAGAAGACAAAAATTAACACCTATATTAACATACCTTACACTTATCATGTATTTACAGGAGTAATTCAGAGGTTTTCTGGGGTGGGTTACTCCCCACTTAGTTAATAGATAATTATAATGGGGAGTCATTATGTAGTGCATTTCACATTGCCTCAATGTGCTTTACATTTATGACCAGTGGAGGACTTTATGACTGCATATCAAGGCACTATCTTTAGCAGCCGTGCAGCTTACAAACATGAGTGAATTGTTAGCATATTAGTATTATTCCTCCAAATTGGAAAAAACATTGATACATCATCCCTCCCTCCCTCACGTCCATAAAACATGCAATAAACTTCCAATACAAAGTAGGGCCATACCATAGCCAACTTGACCCCACCCTCTTTTTTAAATGACCTCCCTCCAATGCCCCAAAAAAATCCCTCCCACCCCCCCCCCCTCCCCCATAGGAAATAAATGGTCACTAAGGGAGCATCTGTAGCTCGGGGGTGGGGTCACTGCTAACACGTTAGGTTTGAATGAGTGGGCCATCAAATAATTTTCTTTTTCAAAACATAAGACCCCCATAGCCCCCCCTTCCCTTCTCCCCACTGGATAAATTAGAAATTTGGTCATCAAGTGTTGCTATAGACCCCTTGCAGGATATTCCCAATGYAGCCCAATTCAGAGGATAAAACAATAGAATCTTATTCTCATGGGAACTGAAATTCATTGTTTTTTTCTCTGAATTGAATTAACGGGTCTGGGAATTGTAGGTTTGTCTAGTTGTTTAAAATACTATATACCGTAAATCCTCTATTTAGCCCCCCGAGGGGCTTATCTATTTCCAGCACATTTGAGGGAGGGCTTATTGGAGAGAGGGGGCTTAATTGAGAGGAGGGGGTTATTGATTTAGTCGAAATGCAGTAAGTTGTATGCTGTCAGGATGTAATATGATTGTAACCCAGGATTAAACGGAAGCATTACTATTGACCGTCTCACATAATCTGTAGTGATGTACATGGCGTTTTTATTATTTGATTAGCCTGTGTTAGTCTATCAAGCATAATTCACGATTATTGTGAATAGCAAAACTAAAACACGGTAACATTAACAAAGCAAGCTAAAAAGAAATGTTCTGAACAATCATTAAATGTTCCATTGGTACATTAAATGAGGGGAGGGGCTTATTAGAGAGGGGGGGCTAAATAGAGGATTTACGGTATAAATAATACATATCATCACATGATCATCTATCAGATAGGATTACTATTTTAATAAAACAAAATAAAATATAATAATAATAATAATAACATGATAGTAGAATTGATAAAAAAGGGGTGACTTCGAGCAATAAGTATTCTAATTTGCTTCTTTATGAGAGCGGTATTGAGGTGTTTAACGGTTATTACTGTTTGTACTAGTATCAACACATCAATTAACAAGGACAATGACGCAACGTTTATCAGTTCTTCATTGAAGTTAGTCACAGTGTTTGGTACACAATCGTATTACCTTACGTTACATTACATTTATACGAAGTATGCAATCTTTGGTATACATGTTACCTTTAAAGCATCCATGCTAAAATGTCTTGATAATAAAGATCGCATAAATAGAAGCCCTTGGCGATCAGCCGGAAAATACTCTAGTCTTCAAGGTGTATTTTGTTTTTCGTGCATAATAAATAGGAGCGAGACTGGTGCCAAGTCCAACCACAGGAATCCCATCACCAGCTAATGCTAGTGTGTAGTGGGACTAGTGGGAAAGAATGGAAAATAGAACTTCCAAAGTGGGATTGACTTTCTCCTGACATTAGAGCCATATAAACGGGGGAAAATCCGATTGAAACGATAAGAACTTTGGAAAGCAAATCCTGTCATGAGGAAAAAGTAAGAAAAATCTTTATAGAAATATGTTTTGGACCCAGAAGTCTTTGTACTCTTTTTTTTCTGGGATACTAACTCCAAGCATCTTAAATTCAGCTGTATCATTTCTAATTTATAGAGCTGAAAGATGCCCCCATATGCTGGCCTCCTGTCCTGTCAATATCCTTTGTTTTTCTTTTAAAAGCAAAATTCATGTTTCCTACTAATGCAGCAGTTCTCCCAGTGAAAATAAACTTGTCTTACAAACCATACAATACTCCAGTTTTGAGGTCTCTTTTGCTCAGCCTTAACCTCTGTTGTGCATTAAATATTCAGTATTTCAGCCAAAACCTGTGGAATTTGAATTAACTCATGTTGTTCCGTAGTTCGTGAATGCCTTACTATACAATGGACCTCATTAATAATAAAAGAAAAGAACACATTTGTACACAATCGAGGCTAAGACTGAGCAAAGGTGAACTAGAAATGGGAGTTAACCAGTAATTTTGGGATCTACAAGAATCATGAGGCAATTTTCTTTTGTGGGTCATAGCAACAGTAACTGAGGGGATTTAGAACCATGAATGGTGTCAGATAGACAGTCATTTACCTTGTGCCAGCCATGGTTACTAACTGTTTCTAATAAAATATGAGAACTAGTACTATTTAAATCTCTTTATTTAAATCTTTAAAAAACATATATTAAGCTTAAACTGTTTTATCACGACGTGGGACAATCACAACAGAGCTAGGTGAAAGCCCAAGATGGAATTAGAATTTAGAAGTTGATTTTTGTGGAGGGAGGAAAACCGGAGAACCCGGGAAAAACCCTCGAAGCACAGGAGAGAACCAACAAACAACTCTGCTCACATACRACATYGAGATCGGCAGGACTCAAACTCAGGCCGCATTGGTGAGAGGCAGCGCATTAGCAGCACATGCCACCTGTGCTTCCCTTGTAATACATTCTTATATGACTCAAGCTTAAAAACATCTGAAGAAATAGCCTAAGATAATTCTATAATATGATGTCTTGTTAAATAGTTTAGCATACGAAAACTTGAAGGCCCAAAAGGCTAAAATACATAGAGGTTATTTATGTACCAGCCAGATAAACAGTAACTGAGCCCTAGATCTTGAACATACAGACTGAGACATTTAGTCTACTCCTCAGCTGTCATTAGTTTCAGTCACAGATCCTCATTGACCCATGATGATCTGGTACCGGAACTAATGATGGCTGTGGAGGAGACTAGAGGCCATTAGGCTGAGATTTGTTTCAAAGGCGAGGGCACAGTTTTTTCTGTCTAGACTGACTTTAYGATCATAAATAATTTATTTATCTTATTTTGCATATTATTATTATTGTTGTTATTATACCATGATACTGGACAGCTGTGGTCAGAGATAGAAAATACCACCTGCTTGTACAGCCAATGAGATTTTTAGGATACTAGATTGCAAGAAAAATAAATTTCAATACTTTAGTACATTTTAAAATAAATMTGATTTTAAAATATTTTCCATAACATTCTTACTCTAGTTTAATCTTCTGGATTTGTTGAAGTGGACTGCAGGTAAATACAGAATCATCTGGGAGTCAATTTATTGCCTGAAGTCATAATTATTGAAATAACTTTGAGCAGATAAAACAACTCCAGAATCCTGCATATGCCAATATTGATAATTAAATTTCCATGTAATAAAAGCTGGCAATGCACCAAAGATTTTTTGAAGAGTTGTGTGAAAATTCACACAAGTTGATACAAGCATTATCTCCCAGAGAACCATCAAAATAGCAGTGAACAGGAAAGTGGTATTGATGAATGGGCTAAATAGCTTGTACCAATACTTGGACTTGAAGGACATCGGGCCAGTTGATGGATTTCCATGGTTATCGATTCCCTTGTCGAGGTCTTCAATGAGCTTCACAACTTTGATTTCTTCACTGATAGTAAGACAGCAGTGAATCAGTAGGAAGGTATGGCCTGATACATCAAATCCTTCCCAGAAGTAGCCGTGTTTATGGCACGTATACTTGGAACCATGTCTGGACTCTCCTTTACAACTACCGGATATATGTTCAACGTACTCAAAAAAATTAACCCAAAGAAACCATGCGATCGTGGCGACGATGAGTCTACTATAATGACTTGCTATTAAGATAACATTTCCTGAAGTTAGTATAGCCGATGTGGTGAGTACAAGAACACTTAGAAGCGTCCACGTCCATCCCCATCCAAGCTTCACGAAGTACACGTTGAACACGTTCTTAGTGTAGGAAAAGTACGATCTTGGAGGAGGAAAAAATTCATGAATAAAAGATCCAAGAACTACAATCAACCAGTATATTGCTACTTTATATGTTGTTTTCGTAAGGGCAATTGTTCTGAGGGCAGAATACGTGGATTTTAAGAACTGGAGGAGTTTTTCGTGAACCGGTTTTTCTTCGCTTGTTTCGTCAGCCATCTTGAATTCAAACACGCAAGCACACGCAAAGTACCTTGGGCCTGTTTCACAGGAGGCCCATTTGGCATAAAATCAGTCAAATTTTAAAACACATTTTAATTCAATATTCAAAATATTTATTTTGTTTTATCTTGATAGTTTGAAATAAYATTTCTTTTGCTCATTGCAAGAGATAAATGCGAAGAAAAATGGTCTCCATGGAAAAGCAACCAATGTAATGTAAAAAAATAAAAAGATAAATAATCCAACAATTTTGATTTATTATTTATGCATTTATATTCGATTATTTAGTACAAGTTGGTCTTAAGATGAAAAATATGAAATACTAGAAAATAAAGTTAAACAAAACATCTTGAATGGTTTTTACTTAGTTGGGCTCCCTGTGGCAAGTCCCAGGTTCTTCCGAATTCCGCGGTCAGTCTATGCGAAGGGTTAGCATAGCAGCAGGTTGCGTAAGTGGCAAACCTGATTTATCTCATTTAGGGATGTTATTTTGATTGAAAGAAGGCATACTAACAGGTGAGTTGAACCGTCACAAGAAATTGTAACTCTAAAGTCCTGTTTTTCGAAAGCCATCCAAATTTGAAGCCACGAAATCTCCTGACTCTGCTGACTGTGTCGTCCAGGTTGTGTTATCTTGTTCAATTTGTTCCCAGAACCATAATATGGAGTCCATTATTCGTTATGCATTATACTTAGCTGATTTTTTCTCTTTCTTGCATTGATTTTCATTTGGGGTTTGGAGGAAACTAAATATTTTTATAATATTCATTTTGGTCCAATTTTTTTAGCATGGATTTTCAGTTTCCTTAACAATGGTCCCAAGAAAACCTTAACAAGTGGCTTAGATAAATAGATGGCTAAGATACGATGGAAAAAGAAAGAAGAAACCGAAAGAAACTCAAGAAATTGAAAGCACAACAAGAAGTTCATAACTCACTTCCTTTGTACGGACCGGAAGTGACTTTTCCTTTCCGCTGACATTGATGTTATTCAGCATGCTCARTAGGGCATTCAAATTCAAATTCGTATTACGAGGGACTTTGCTGGTGAATTTTCATACATTTTATTCCAGAACTTCTAAAGGTAGGGCTAATACTCCTTCTTTTCTTATAAATCTTGTAGTTTGAAGCTGGATTTTGGGTTATTTATGTTGCATGTCTGTTGTGATGTCACGGGGCAAGATCAGACTGGCCCCAGCTTATAGTTGCTTGTGAATGGTCAGATTTGGCGGGCATTTCAAATAATCTTTCGACTCGAACAGTATTGCTCTCAAACTGACGCTAAAAAACATGAAAGAACAACCTGGAAAAGGTTCGTAGTGAACCGAAAACACTCACAATCGATTTTCATAGGGTTTTCGTAGGATATCGGAAGCTTTTTTGTACTGTTTGCTCTATTTTTCGCGAGGTCTTTGTCTCTGAAATTTGGCGCGTCCATGGCAGTACTAAAAGCACAATTATTTTTTGGAGAAGATTGTTTTATGCCTAAAAGACCATTTATTTATCATTGAAATAGCATACTTGAATATTTGAGGTTTTGATAGATGTCTACTAGTTTTTAATATATTTTTCGTGAGRTTCTGGTTAATGAACTTTGGCGGGTTTAATGCATGGTCTGCATGGCCACTCGACTCGGGGCGAACTTCTTTTTAAAATATTTTTTCTTGCTTCAAAGCGAAAAACATTAATTAATTATCGTTCAGTCATTAAAAATACTCTCTTTCTGCTTGTCGGCTTGTGTTTTTTGCCAATTCCAAGACTAATTGACTAGATACCTAGCTGCAGGAGATCTCAAAAAGCGCGCTAAATTTACAGTTGAGCTCTTGTATGTTTAAAATAAATAACCTATAATTTCAAATTAATTTCTATCATTTTATGACCTTGAATAATTCCTTGAGATTTATTCTAAGCAATTTATTTTTCTTTTCGTAGATTTTTCTCGCAAGATGCTTGGATCTAATTCAATCTCCTATACGACCAACGGTCACAGTACGAAAAACGGTACCAATGGTACAAAAAAAGTTACTGTAAGTTGAAAAACAACTATCGATAGTAAAAATTAATGTTGTGTGAATATGGTAAATTTAAAAGTTGCTTTTTGTGGAGCGAGAAAAAACAAGAGAATCCAGATCAAAACCCTTGAATCAAGGGAGAGACAGCCAACAAGCAATATTCTACTTAAAAACAACACCCAGCTGCAGTAGGGAGAGGAGAGTATTATTGTAGCTATGCCACCCCTTGATATCAAATTTTGTTTCATTTTCAATCTTGTAAAACAGATTGCTGTTGAGGGAAATATTGGAAGTGGGAAGACAACTTTACTAAAGTTTTTTAAGCAAAATCCCTTAATTGAGGTAAGTCTAAATTGTTTTTTTAAAACTCAGGTGTGCATCCAGGGGGTTTGGCCTGAGATGCATGCAACCCCCCCTCCTACTGCCTGTTAATTGTTACCTCTATTTGTTTGGGGAGAAGGGGAGAGGGGATGGTTTGTGACCTCAGTGGCTACCAGGATAAGCCACAGGATCAATAAGCAATATTGAGAGGCTAAGAAACCTTTAGTCATATCTTGCCATATTTGTTTTATGAAATAGATGCCAGGGTTCTATATTTATTATAATGCAAGTATCAAATTCCAAGTGTATTTTATTGATTGTGACTTTTAGGTTTTAGAAGAACCTGTTCAGAAGTGGCAGAATGTGGATGGTGGAAACATTCTTGTAAGTTTGCTATGGATTATATTTCTTTCAAGTGTGAGGAAGTCAAGTAGTCACTGTTAGACTATGTAATTTGAATACCTTGTATCTCATTGTCACGTCATATAACTCTCTGTACTACCCATCTTCAATTTACTTGGAGAAAAGTTGTGTTCTGAAATATACTTAACAGTCATATCTGAGTACTCTGGTTTAACTTGTATCTCATTGATTATGTTTTGGCCGTTCTCGGTTCACAAGTTATCAATTTTCACTACTATAACTGTATTAATTTTCTAAAATAATATTCTCTATTGATTTATGTCGTTAGTCAAAAGGAAATGCCCAGCATGGGACCTAGAGTCCCATTGCACTTGTCACTTTGGGTAGCATGTTGGTTCTGTAATTTTCCTTCCTGATTGATACCTAATAAAAGTTGTAAACCATGTATTTATCCAATATTCAAGTTTATTGTTTCATATTTCATAGGAACTAATGTATAAAGATCCCAAGAGATGGAGTTTTATGTTTGAATCATATGTTCTTCTTACCATGATGCAACTCCACCATCAAAAACAAGTATGTCTGAAATGTCTTTAAAACCATGTAAATAACACTAGTCTGGGGTCTTCAATTATTTACAGCTTTTTCAAAAAAATGGCAAAGGTCTTGTTGCATGTTGAATACCAAGCCCAAAATGCACTATGGGGAATGAGAAAAACTTTGTCTGCACATTTTTCTGGCATAATTTCTTCTCTGTCAACATCATTTACATCTGAATTTACATATGCATTACATGCCTTCTGAAACCAACATTTTTTGAAATACAGTAGTTGTATAATAAAAGTACCATGTGTACCATGGTCAAGTTCATGATATGGTGCTATATTGTACATTATAAGATAACTGTTATAAATCTTGCATTCTGATTTGTTGGGAGCACCTGCTTTATGAGAGCACATAGTATGCACGCACACTTTCAGTCGCGTCATTCCTAAAAAGCACTTTGGGATTGGCAGAACACTCAAGAAGTGTTGAGAAGCACTCCACCATGTGTCAGGCTTCTCCTCTCTCATGTTCTGCCGGTTTTGTTCTGCCAACCCCTGTGTGCATTTTCTATTTCTTCAATAGACTGCCTTAGTATTTTGGTGTATACTTTGATTTTTGATGAGGAGAAAGGGAGTGTGGAAGAGAACCTGTAGAAAAATCAAATTTGGTAAAATAAAATTACCTTTTTTGTCATTGTGTAGGAAACTCCAGTGAGACTTCTTGAACGAAGTGCATACAGTGCTTTCTTCTGTTTTATTGAAAACCTTTATTTGAGGTAAGATAGACAACAATCCTAAAATGTAAAATTCGTACATGAAGAAGAAAAGCAAGAATATACAAGCTTATTAGAGGATCAATATCATTAACCTACTGACACCTAAAAAAACCTGTGAGATCTTACTTTTTACTGCTTTGCACAGCAAAACTGAAAATGAGACATTATTTTGAGTAAGGCTAGAACATTTTATCCTTGAGGCACAGGCAGTTTTTGAAATAAGACTAGTTCCCCACACCCCCATCTTTACTAAATTTTATTCAGTTTGTATATATTGGTGTTGTGACATTCTTGAGTCATTTTTTCTCTTTCTCAGTGGAATGCTATCCCAAGTGGAGTACAGTGTTTTCCAAGAATGGTTTGAATACCTTGCAGAACATCAAAAGCCTCATGTGGATTTGATAAGTAAGTGACAAGACAAGATTCTAGTATGTAAGCTGAAAGAAAAACAGCAACTGTGTTGTATTAYTTTCTTCCATTTGTTTATTTGGTGTTTTTTTTTTATAATGTTTCTTGACTTACAGTCTACCTGAGGACATCCCCTGAAATCTGTTTTGAAAGAATGCAGAAAAGAAGACGTTCAGAAGAAAGTTCAGTATCTATGGTTAGTAGATTTTGTGATTCAATCTTCAATTACATATAACTGTAAACAAGCAAACATAATTGCACCAGGCCAGTTGATCAAAAAATAAACTCACCAAGCCTTAACAAATTTTTTCTTTTCGGTCTGGTATCCTAAAAAATTGTGCGTTCTAATTGCTGTTTGAGCGGGCAGTAATTTGTCAGTATCTGCCTGCACTGGCGGTCCAGTATCCTTTGCCGATAAATAATAAAACAAAACAATTACAAAAACAAGTAAAAAAAATATGGGAAAAAAAATAATAAGTTATTCACCGTCCTATAGTCTGTCCAGATAGGGAAAAACTGTGCCCTGAGTCCGTATATCCAAGACCTCGGGCACAGTTTTTCCCTATCCGGACCAACTATAGGACAGTAAATAACATATATTTCTTTACTTGTTGTTACAGGATCTTTTGACAAGCTTGCATGAAAGATATGAGGAGTGGCTTCTAAAAAAGACTAAATTCTATCTACCAGCCCCAGTAGTCGTAGTTGATGGGAACCAAAGTCTAGAGAAGTTATCACAATATTATGAAAACAATACTCATTCTTTATTTGGGGTAAATGAGATCTCCAAAATACCAGTATCATGACCAGTATGAATTAGTTTTTTTTACAGAAAAAAGATATTCTCTATTTTGATACACACTTTGTACTAGATTGTAAAAATCATATATGATCAGAATAGCCTGAATCTTAGCTTTGTCAGCACATGCAATTTTATTTTCCCTTCTAGTAAGATAGTTTCCAATAGACCCCCGTATTGTCAAAGCAGTTCAATTTGGAGGACAAAACAAAAGAATTTCAATCACCTGAGAAATGGAATCCTATTGTCATGTCCTCCAAATTGAGCTGCGTTTTGACATACTGCAAGGGGTCTATAGAGCAGTTTCAAGGCCACCACATTTTAGCTGTTAAAAACAATAGAAATACCTTCTTTGGGAAATTAAACCTCGAGTTTTGGAAAACATTGCATAGTTCCAGCCCCACAACATGGCAACCTTGAAACTTCTCTATAGCTTTTACCTGCCACTGAGATCTCTGCAATTGTTTCCTGTGAGGGATGGAGGTGCTATGTTTAGGCAGTTGAGATTCAGGCTTCTTTATATTAATTTTTCTACTAAATTCTTACTTTTCTACCAGTTTTTAATCATTACTTCCTAATCTTTTATACTCTGCTTTTATAATACTATTTTCATAAAAGTGTAAATATGAAAACTAACTAATGCTTTGAAATATCTTAAATAGTGTACATGGTTATTGATGATGCAAAAGCATTTGAATATTCTCTTTACTAGTGCTGATCATTCAACTCTCAAAATACTGTGTAGGTGAGTTTATTTATTCACAAATCCTTAATAACATTTGTACAGCTTTTAATTAATCTTGAATTTAGGAGAAGATCATTAGTCAGGCAACCAAAGACATAAACAGTGAAAATGATTGTTTCTGATTGGCTGAAGTAGACTTTAATGAGACATTTCAATGGTGTTATAAAATTAGCCAATCAGAAGCAGTGTCTATCGCAGTTTACCATAGGATTGCCTTGGAACATTCGGAGCCACACTCAACTGAAATACAAGTGATGGTTCCTAATTTTATCACTGTCTTGGCTATTCCTTCTTTTCAATGCTTCTTGATAGCCTTTAATGACTTACTGAGTGAAATGCACCTTATCGTACTGAGCTCTCTAATAACTTATTTAAAAATTGTATGATCTTAAGATTTCAAATTGCAATCAAATCTTTACTCGTCCTATAGGTTCATAAGGGTTAGGTGTAAATAAGATCACATCAAGATCAAACATTTTCATTCAATTACTGTAAAAAAGAAATCCAAGAATAATTTACAAAGAAATTACATTATTATATTCTCATCACTTTAACAGAATTAAAGCAAAATACTTTGTTTTCTATTGCCTAAATGGTAGTATTTATCACTAGAGTAGGAAACATACTGACTCATAGCACATACATGCTATGACATGCTGTAACATTGAAATGGCTTCCCATTGCGTTTCATCCAATAGAATGTTTATTTACAGCTACAGTAAGGTACATTCTGTATGTTTTGGCTTGGTATTTACTAACGACATAAAGATAATAAACATAAGCTATAATCATAAGGGTGCTTACTTGTGTTAAATTATGTTTTAGTGGAAATGCACTGGAAAAAGAAAACATAATCTACCTTAGACCAACATAATTATGATCAGATTTAAATAGCCAAGCATTTTCTTATGATTATGATCATTATGTTGCTAGTGGCTACCAAGCCTTGTAAGTACAGTACAAATTTGCTTTATAATACTCGTTTTTACAGTTCCATTCAGTGACCACAAATAATAGTTCCTAGCCGAGGCTGGAGTTTCTGCGCATAGCAAAACTACAGTTTATCATTCAGGGTCACTGAATGGAACTGCAAAAAGGAGCACTTCCCAGTCATACAAAAACAGCTTTAACTAGTACTTTTTCATTAGCGACTGTTTTTACTTTTACGTAATGCCATAACATGTCTACATTTAGAAAAATGTTTGTTAAATTTACATATTATAGTTATTTTATATATTTTTTTTAAACCAGTTTTTGTTACTTTATGTTAAGAAAGTCATAGTGATTACTGTAGCCTATTACACATAAACAAATTAAGTTGTAAATAAGTTAAGTTGTGGTATCAGTAGAGTGCAAACAATATAACTGAAACTTTAGTAATACTAAATAGCACAATTTCATGCAAATTCCATTGTTTTCTATTTAATCAGCACTATTTTGTACTATTTAGTAATTAGTGTTTCACGGATTAATTGTTTGCACTCTATTATATAATCATAATTAAATTTCATCACTTTAAATAAAGATTAACTAATCCTTTTTAAAGACTCCTGCTTTGTTTGTATATCAAAATTTATATTTCCCATTTTCCATCAAGTTTCCATCAAATTTTAAATTTTCCATTTTTTAGACTTTGTTTTTTCAAAATCATAGTACTTTCAAAATAGATTAGATTTATATAAGATTTATCTGTAGCCAATTAGATTTGGCTATAGGTGTGAAAATGGACTTATTATGACCAGTGGGCATGGTTTCATGGGAAGACATGTTGGGTGGAACACAGGGAGTCCAAGCTGCAAACATTCAGAGCATTGAAGAAAACATCTAAAAACATGTTTATACAATGTTTATACACTATTAGAAATAGCTTAAGCAATTTTCATTTTTCTACGACCAAGAAGACTCTAGATGCATCACTTTCTTGTCTTTTGGCTTCTACGCAAACCAACCTTACTATGAATGTATTAATAATAATAATAATAAAAGTGATTTATTGAGTATTTAACAAGTTTCAATACTTTACAATAGAAGAAAGAAATTATTATTGAGTTGGGCTAATAGGTCAATTTAGGTCAATAGGCTATTTTCCCACAAAATGCATGGACCATAGTCCAAGGACTACAGACCATAGTTTTCATCAATTTTTGGTCCATTTTCACATCTAAAATTTTATGAATTAATGGCTATATTCCATGCTTTTTGAAAATTGATGCCCATGAATCATAGTACGTATTTTTCAAAATATACCTCAATCACATTGGATAAGGATAGGTGTGATGGAAATATACCTCAATCACATTGGATAAGGATAGGTGTGATTGAAATATACCTCAATCACATTGGATAAGGATAGGTGTGATGGAAATATACCTCAATCACATTGGATAAGGATAGGTGATGGAAATATACCTCAATCACATTGGATAAGGATAGGTGTGATGAAAATGTAAGTCAAGTTCCCCCAAAACCATTTCCAGATTGTGCCCCATTAAAATTTTAGTCCCTTTTTTTCATTTTCTATCGTTGTGCAAGTTTCACCCCTTTTCATATTGCACTTGGAATTTTCACAGTAGCTTTCACAGGTTGCGGCATTATATATTTAACACTTATTGACTGGAACTTTGGGAAACAGAGGGTTTCGTGATCCTGAGATGGCTATGTATCATGCGAGGAAGCCAAGCCACTTGATTCACTGACTTTTTGAACCATCAAACTTTATTGAGGAAAATAAAACTAGAACTACAAGCATGATATCAGGGGCGGATCCAAGAATTTTAGAAGGGGGTGACTATATTACAAAGAATACAGTTTAAGACAGTGGGGATCCTCTCTAAATGGTTGTGGTTTAAAGATTTTAAATCTCTACTAAGATACTATAAATTAAATAAACTATTAAATAGTGTCATTTAGGTACTAACTAGAAATATTATTGTTGATCGAGAGGGAAATTCTTGGTCGTTTTTAGGACAGTAACGTACATATGCCTAAGCTCAGGGACATACACTTTACTTTATGTACCACTGTAAGTGTGAACATGTTCTAAAATAAACATGAAGGTGAGGTCAGAGGTCCATTTATTCCCCTTTTTCTCTCGGACTATGTTTTTTCCTTTAGTAAAGATTTGAGAAATTAAGGAAAGCAAAAATGTGGGCTGGTGACTTCCTCATTTTCATTTATGTATTCCCCAGTCCTTTGCTCTTTTTTAGGTAAGGAATAGGTTTCATGTATGCTCAAGTGGAATGATTTCTTATTGGTTTAAATGTCACACTAATGTCCTACGAGGTCCTTCAGAGTAGCGTATCCATATCTCTGAGGTGCTCGTGTGTCCTTAACATCTTTTCCTTGGATTTTCCCATCAACAAGATATTCCTTGTTCATTATCGTCTGTGCCCACGTGATGACTTTATCAATATGGGGTGTGGCCACACCCACTACCTCAGCAATACCTCTCATTACTATGATACCATATGGAATCTCCTCTGTGAAGTATCGGTACTCGAAGTCTGGTACAAACTTGCCTTTTTCTGTTTTGACCATGGGTTGAGTCAAGCCTTTGTATGCGTTGTTGGTCTTGATACAAGTATAAAGGGTGGTTTTGTCAACTATATCTTTATCGTAGCACCGATTGTACCAGTCATGGATGTGTTGTACCTGGGACATGTCTGTCTCTGGACTCTGTTCAGCAACAGCCTCACCAATAGCCACAACTTCATCAGACATATCACTCATTAATTGAGCTCCTTTTTCACTGATCGATAGGTAAAATGGTGGAGGCAGCTCATCTAGTGGCTCTCCATCCCAGTTGGACCAACAGTCATACAAGATAGATAAGTGCATATAAGCACCAACTGACATGAGTGATGCCCCTAAAAGATGTCCCTTTATTTTCAAGACAGGATACTCTCCAAACAGGCTTTGCACTGTTGAACAGGGATCCATTGGTGCCTCCTTCAAGCTTCTCTGAATAGCACCAGCTAAACTTGACTTGATTCCTCTTACATCACAGGACTTGCCGAATTCGACAATTCGTGTTGCCCATGGCAACGAAATGAAATTGAAAATGGTGATCTCCTTGGAAACTTCTCCTAGAGCTTGACGAACTTGAAATTCAAAGCCAGATTGTCCTGGCAGAGCAACAAGAACCATACCTGGTTCTATAAATGGTTTCATTGCTTCCAGGTACTTTTCATGCACAACAGCGGCCATAACTAAACCAATGACATCACATCCAGGAATCACCTCCTCTGGTTTCTTAGTAACTAGTCTTGGTTTGGTTTTCAGCTTCTTGTAGCACTCTCCTTTACTGTACAGGTTAACAGTGAAGTCATGTTCCTTGAGAGAGTTGGACCATCTCTCTACTTTGTCATGCGACAAGGTTAGAACACATACATCAGTGTCTGGTTGAGATGAAGCTATACCAGCCCATGCATGAGCACCATTGCCTCCACCACAGATAACCAGCTTGGTTGGTTTGGATGATGCCATTTATACTGCCTGTTCAAATTAAAGTGATAGCTGGTTAAGTTCAATCGAGCTGGTGCACATGCTCGCCATTGTTGAGTCAGGATTGAAGCATCTCCATACAAGTCCCCAGTACACGTAGGAATGGATTTATGAGTATATATGAGTGTCACCATGTAAGAATGTTTTCGGCATACGAAATAATAATATACATGCTGCAAACGACTTTTTCAATGGAAACATCTTCTTTGTTTGCAATCAATCCCAAGAGAGCACAATAACAAAAGGGATTTCCGACATGTTGGAAGATATAACAAAAGAATTCATTGAAAAATCTTTTGTCAAATTCTTCCAAAATAGCGGCTATGACGTCTATTGTAAACGAAGAATTATATCCAAATGTTTTCGTTATCTCTCAAGCGACTAATAGTCTAAACGAGAATTCTCTGGGTAAATTTACCTTGAGAAATATGCAGGTTTTGAGCTTGAAATCATAGTTAAGTGAACATTAGTACTATAAAGCACTGCACACTTGTCGTCCCGCAACAAACCACAGGAGCCCCAAAACCCAATATTTTGATTTTAAACGCACACTCTGTAGGGTAATTTATTGGAATCTTTTATATTTTATTCGAGATTAGGGGGAGGGGGGAGGGAAGGCGACCATTTTCCATTCATCCGGTTCACTGATCAAACCGAATGCATTCAAACGACGCTGAAAAAAAAGGATAATTCAAATTTGAATCTTGTAGCCTAAATTGGATGTCTTAGTCGGACACCGCTGGACAGAGTTAACAAGTATTCGCGGGAGGGGACCAATAAGTCACTTATAGCAATTTATATTATGGTAAATTAAGACAATTTTATTTATTCCCCCCCCCCCCCCCCATACATACATCAATTTGGGCAAGATATTTGGGACATTTAAGGTGGCTGACTACTTCGCTAAATAATAAACAGGAAATTGGAAATTCAAACTTTTTTAACCTGAAAATTAATGCTGATTTCAAAAATGCAAAGAAAATGGGTGTCCTGAGCTTGTTTTTGAGATGATCCCCGGTGAATGGCAGTCGTTTGTACAATTGTAGAAAAAGAATAGCGATAAATCAAGCTACAAAAAAAGCATTATTAAACCCAAACTAATGACGAACCATTAGTACTTTTCACAGATCTCTTAAAAAAATGTA